CTGAACAAAATATAAAGGAAAAGAGCCTTTTATCAGTATCAGCCCCCCTTCAAAGTTTGTAGGGGGGCTGACATTGGGTCTGATCACTATTTGGTAAGAGCACAACTGAGAATGAAGCTTATGTCAGTGAAAAAGAAGCAGGAACGTAAGCTTGAGATTCCTGCTATTGAGCATCTGCGTGATCATTCACTTGTTTCCGAATACAATATTGTTCTGAGAAACAAATTTGACTGTTTGGAATCTGAGGTTGACCTGGAATCAATGTAGGACAACTTCAAGACAACAAGTTTCCATGGAAATCCTTGGGCAAAGACCTCGAAAAAAAGAAGGACAGGCACCAATCTCAGAAGACAAAAGAATTATTGAAGAACCGTAAGGAATTTAAGCGTAATTCGAACGCTAACAGGTCAGAGTATTCTAGATTGAATAAGCTCTTTAAAAAAGTAGCAAGGTGGACAATAACAACTGGGTACGTAGAATGGCCAATGACTTGGAAGAAGCTGCGAGAAAAGGTCAGCAACGTGAGGTATGGCAGAAGATCAATGTCATATCTGGAAAGAGGAAGAAGCAGTCAACTGCTGGCCATTTGATTGCCGACCCACATGCCTTTAGTCTGTCTCCTGCGGTGAAAATCAGTTTAATAAATATTCTATGAATTTTTAAAATTTTAATAACTCTATCTCATCAAGTAGTTTTATAGTTGGGTAACTAATGTTACTTAACAGAACAGTTAGAGTTTTAGTTACTTACATCAAGAAGGGTTGCCCAGTCAAAATCTTGGATGGTGGACATGGTTTTACCTTTAGGTTTGACCTGCAATTTGAATGTGTTTTTCACAATAATACTACCGTTTTAGAACACCGCTTAAATATACATTACAAGTTAACAAGTTTGTATTCATTTGTTTTTTCGTGATTAATTAGATTAGTAAGGTAAGTTTAAAAGACTTACGTTTTTCGATACCGGTCTTTTCACACTTGTCTGGAAATATAAATAATTATAGATAGCTTGACAAATTTCAGAGTTGGGAAGTTACATACATATTGATTAGGGAATTCGTTTACAGATATATGAGATTTTAATACATCGAAATTATACTCATTCTTCTACATTTTTAAATTAATTTGTAGCTTTTAAAGTAAGAAAAAGAAAAGTGGATCAGCAAATTCTTTAATTCGAATCTTTAAAAATTTACCTTCTTCTTTTTGGCTTGTGCCTGATTATCCTGTTCCTGATGATCCTGTTCCTGATGAACCTGTTCCGAGGGGTTCTTCTGGGGAGGCTGGGATTCTATAGCAATTCCCACGATATTTTTAAATGTTCTTCCACCGTGTTTTGGGCTTGTTCTTAACGCCACTTTAAAACGAACTTTATCATTCTCCTAAAAGATTAAATCGTTTTGTTAACAGACATGTGAGCTTTTGTTCTAACAATTATGGTAATTTTTACAATTGAACTATCAGATTTATTAGTTACTCAACCTGCAATTTCTAGATCATTTAAAAAATATTTAAATAAATAAAATTAAAAAAATATCAATACTTACTTTCAATGCTGTGGGTACAGCGGTGTTGTACACCATTAAATTTTCCACCTCACCAGCGTTCGTTTTTATCGTTAGGAGGGTACGTTCTTTTCCTGGTGAGGAAAGTAATTCCACAGTGCCAGTGATGTACATGATTGAGAAAACGGATTGAGAAAACGAAAAAACTAAAACTGAAGAAAATTGGGAACTGAAGTTTCTCAGCAGTGTACATGGTTTATATAGTAAAGACAGTTTCTTTGTTTTAGTACAATTCATTATCATTACCCTGGATGTTTGATTGTTATCAGGAATAGGAAGAATTCATTGCCATTGCCCTGGATGTTTGATTGTTATCAGGAATGGGAAGAATTCATTGCCATTGCCCTGGATGTTTGATTGTTATCAGGAATGGGAAGAATTCATTGCCATTGCCCTGGATATTTGATTGTTATCAGGAATGGGAAGAATTCATTGCCATTGCCCTGGATGTTTGATTGTTATCAGGAATGGGGAGAATTCATTGCCGTTGCCCTGGATGTTTGATTGTTATCAGAAATGGGGAGAATTCATTGTCATTGCCCTGGATGTTTGATTGTTATCAGGAATGGGGAGAATTCATTGCCATTGCCCTGGATGTTTGATTGTTATCAGGAATGGGGAGAATTCACTGTCATTGCCCTGGATGTTTGATTGTTATCAGGAATGGGGAGAATGTTTGTGTTTGTTGTGACAGTTTCTCTGTCAGGGGTAGAAGGGGATTACCCTTTATGACTCACTAATTTCTAGAAGGGATTTCTAGAGAGGGAGTACAGTTTATGACTCACTAATTTCAACAATGACAATGAATTCCGCTAAAACAGAGAAACTGCCACAACAAACACAAACACTCTCCCCATTCCTGATAACAATCAAACATCCAGGACAATGACAATGAATTTTTCCCATTCCTGATAACAATCAAACATCCAGGGCAATGGCAATGAATTCTCCCCATTCCTGATAACAATCAAACATCTAGGGCAATGGCAATGAATTCTTCCCATTCCTGATAACAATCAAACATCCAGGGCAATGGCAATGAATTCTTCCCATTCCTGATAACAATCAAACATCCAGGGCAATGGCAATGAATTCTTCCTATTCCTGATAACAATCAAACATCCAGGGTAATGATAATGAATTGTACTAAAACAAAGAAACTGTCTTTACTATATAAACCATGTACACTGCTGAGAAACTTCAGTTCCCAATTTTCTTCAGTTTTAGTTTTTTCGTTTTCTCAATCCGTTTTCTCAATCATGTACATCACTGGCACTGTGGAATTACTTTCCTCACCAGGAAAAGAACGTACCCTCCTAACGATAAAAACGAACGCTGGTGAGGTGGAAAATTTAATGGTGTACAACACCGCTGTACCCACAGCATTGAAAGTAAGTATTGATATTTTTTTAATTTTATTTATTTAAATATTTTTTAAATGATCTAGAAATTGCAGGTTGAGTAACTAATAAATCTGATAGTTCAATTGTAAAAATTACCATAATTGTTAGAACAAAAGCTCACATGTCTGTTAACAAAACGATTTAATCTTTTAGGAGAATGATAAAGTTCGTTTTAAAGTGGCGTTAAGAACAAGCCCAAAACACGGTGGAAGAACATTTAAAAATATCGTGGGAATTGCTATAGAATCCCAGCCTCCCCAGAAGAACCCCTCGGAACAGGTTCATCAGGAACAGGATCATCAGGAACAGGATAATCAGGCACAAGCCAAAAAGAAGAAGGTAAATTTTTAAAGATTCGAATTAAAGAATTTGCTGATCCACTTTTCTTTTTCTTACTTTAAAAGCTACAAATTAATTTAAAAATGTAGAAGAATGAGTATAATTTCGATGTATTAAAATCTCATATATCTGTAAACGAATTCCCTAATCAATATGTATGTAACTTCCCAACTCTGAAATTTGTCAAGCTATCTATAATTATTTATATTTCCAGACAAGTGTGAAAAGACCGGTATCGAAAAACGTAAGTCTTTTAAACTTACCTTACTAATCTAATTAATCACGAAAAAACAAATGAATACAAACTTGTTAACTTGTAATGTATATTTAAGCGGTGTTCTAAAACTACCCCTGACCCTGACCCTGACCCTGACCCTGACCCTGACCCTGACCCTGACCCTGACCCTGACCCTGACCCTGACCCTGACCCTGACCCTGACCCTGACCCTGACCCTGACCCTGACCCTGACCCTGACCCTGACCCTGACCCTGACCCTGACCCTGACCCTGACCCTGACCCTGACCCTGACCCTGACCCTGACCCTGACCCTGACCCTGACCCTGACCCTGACCCTGACCCTGACCCTGACCCTGACCCTGACCCTGACCCTGACCCTGACCCTGACCCTGACCCTGACCCTGACCCTGACCCTGACCCTGACCCTGACCCTGACCCTGACCCTGACCCTGACCCTGACCCTGACCCTGACCCTGACCCTGACCCTGACCCTGACCCTGACCCTGACCCTGACCCTGACCCTGACCCTGACCCTGACCCTGACCCTGACCCTGACCCTGACCCTGACCCTGACCCTGACCCTGACCCTGACCCTGACCCTGACCCTGACCCTGACCCTGACCCTGACCCTGACCCTGACCCTGACCCTGACCCTGACCCTGACCCTGACCCTGACCCTGACCCTGACCCTGACCCTGACCCTGACCCTGACCCTGACCCTGACCCTGACCCTGACCCTGACCCTGACCCTGACCCTGGCCCTGACCCTGACCCTGACCCTGACCCTGACCCTGACCCTGACCCTGACCCTGACCCTGACCCTGACCCTGACCCTGACCCTGACCCTGACCCTGACCCTGACCCTGACCCTGACCCTGACCCTGACCCTGACCCTGACCCTGACCCTGACCCTGACCCTGACCCTGACCCTGACCCTGACCCTGACCCTGACCCTGACCCTGACCCTGACCCTGACCCTGACCCTGACCCTGACCCTGACCCTGACCCTGACCCTGACCCTGACCCTGACCCTGACCCTGACCCTGACCCTGACCCTGGCCCTGGCCCTGACCCTGACCCTGACCCTGACCCTGACCCTGACCCTGACCCTGACCCTGACCCTGACCCTGAATTAGACCATGAATTAGACCATGAATTAGACCATGAATTAGACCATGAAATTGCTCACAATAATGACGAATTTAGCTTTCATTTTAGACTTCACGTCTCCCGAAATAAAACTGCGAACAAAGTGAAACAAGGAACTAAGTAAACTGTAAAACCAAATTTTCGTCACGCATTGGACTTTATCAAGGTTACAATAATGACAACAAGGCTTTTCTTCGCTAGCATCGCTGTGAAAGCTACCACGTTTAACAATTCTGCTATTTATCGGACTGCGACAAATAGATGCCCGAAAATCTGGTAGGTTTTGCAATTATCCGATTTAACATAATCATTTTATTGCTGTATTTCAGGTTTAAACTTTAAAAGTTATTTAAGTTCTGCTGCTACAATTTAACATTTATAAAGCCAATGATAGAAAAGTGGGTCATAAACAACAGATAAGTTCCTAAAATACAACTATAAAATAACCAAGCCAGCAAAAATAAATTGCTAAATCACCACGACTCTGATTGATTGGAACTATCATCCTCCCCAACATCCCTTATAACTGTAACCTTAGTCTCCTTGTTCCAGATCCACGACGCAACAGCCACCATCAGCGCAGCACCAGAGAACATAACAACCACTAACATGGGGCTGTAGTAATAGAGCGCGTAAACAGCCCCAGCTCCCACCACTCCTCCTAGCTTGCCCCAGCTGTTGATAAAACCCATGGCAGTGTTACGGAAGGTGGTGGGGTACAGCTCAGGTACTATGATTAGTGTCACAATGTTGTGGGACACCTGCATGAACTTGATAACGAAGAACAGTCCCACTGTCACAATGTTGGAGAAGCACTTGAAGAGGAATATACTTGTGATAAAGCTGACAGTTGCAAATATTTTGAGAGAGATTGACCTGCCCATTATAATGCTGGTACCATATCCAACAAAAGAGGAAACAACACAAGCAAAGGTAACTATGGAAAGTTCTAGAAGAGAGTTCTGCTGAACTTCAACGCATTTGTGAACAGGAGGATCACCCTCACCTCCGCAGAACCCGGAGTAGAGAGCCAACGGAACGAATACAATCGTCCCAAACAGTATGAGAAGATTACCAAAGTACATGATGGAGAGGAGAATGGTTTCTTTCCTGTAATCTGATTTTAAAATGTCAGAGATTGAGCCAAGTTCCTGGTCTGATCGTACAGCTATCTTCAAGTTCTCAGGAAGAGACACCCCATTCACCTTCGCCATGCGCCGAAGGGCCTCCATAGCCTCCTTCTTTCTTCCACTCACAGCTAGATACCGTGGAGATTCCGGTAGTAGACACACCAGAAGAACTAAACAAACTAGCAGGGGCACAGCCATTACGAAAACAAACCACCTCCATCCTAATGTATTAAGAGACAAGTATGCCAAAACAGCAGCTAGGAACACACTTATATTAAAAAACAAGCTACAAAGCATGGGTCCCACCTCTCTGTGGGTGCTCTTCACTATTTCTGCAGTGAAACTGTTGCAGGTCGGATAAGTAATTCCCATACAGACTCCACTGAGACATCGCAGTATGAAGAACTGCTCTTTAGTTTGAGCAAATGCTGAGGCACTTGAAGTGAGGAACAGCAGAGTTAATGCTATCGCTATCATTTTCTTTCTTCCGTAGATGTCAGGAAACTTTGCAAACACTCCTCCACCTAAAATGTGGCTATCAAAAAGTATGTTCATTATATTCACTTTTATCATGGTGGAAAATGAGTCCCTCAAACAACTATTACCAATCAAGCAATATCAATCAAGCACACATGACTGTTGTTTTACAAAATAAATAAAAGGCACTTACCTAGAGCACTAAAGAAATAAGCGCTAACGTTGATCAGGGTCTCCCAAACAATGCTTAACCCCCATTCACACCTTATTACAGGTACAATAGTAGAAATTAGAACCATTTCAGAGCCATCCACGTAACATATCACTGCCAAAATGGTCCAATACATGTACTGCGCTTTTCCAACACCTGGAATTATTCGTAAGTTTTTCAGCCTGTGTCTCTGCCTCCCTGTTTCCCTGCGTCCCTGCCTCCCTGCCTCCCTGCCTCCCTGCCTCCCTACCTCCCTGCTTCCCTACCTCCCTGCCTCCCTGCCTCCCTGCCTCCCTACTTCCCTGCTTCCCTACCTCCCTGCCTCCCTGCCTCCCTGCCTCCCTGCCTCCCTGCCTCCCTGCCTCCATGCCTCCCTGCCTCCCTGCCTCCCTGCCTCCCTGCCTCCCTGCCTCCCTGCCTCCCTGCCTCCCTGCCTCCCTGCCTCCCTGCCTCCCTGCCTCCCTGCCTCCCTGCCTCCCTGCCTCCCTGCCTCCCTGCCTCCCTGCCTCCCTGCCTCCCTGCCTCCCTGCCTCCCTGCCTCCCTGCCTCCCTGCCTCCCTGCCTCCCTGCCTCCCTGCCCTCTTATTTACCAATCATAGTGTATATTTCTTCAAGAGACTTGGTGGCTATTTCATCTTCTGTGCTACCATATTCGATGTGATCTGATTCTATCAGTTCGTCTTTATCAGATTCCTGTGTACTTGTTGCCATGATCTGCAGTCGAGGTATGAATCTAGATTTTCTTAAGAATAATTCAAAAACGGTATCGATTAACTAAAAAGCCTGAACAGAAATGACAATTAGACCGCTTGGATACGATTACAACAAGCCACTACTTTACAATCAACACCAATGCAAGATATAAGATTAAGTTTCTGACCGTTCAACCACCATATGGTACGATATTAACAATTACTGTGTACATAATATCTAAACTACTAGTAGGTGCACTTTACACTTTAGTTTTACAGGAATTGAATAACATTACCTTTACTCTCTCATTATCACATGAGGTATTATCTGTGTACTACTACATTGCATTTCAGACTAACATTAGCATGAAATGATCATGTCGAAGGTGAAAATTTCATGTGGCAATTCGAATTAAAAATCTCAATAGATAAATTTGATGGGGTAGTGCATTATGATAAGTGATTTAAATTTCAAAAATAAACTAAATATTTTAAAAAATACTAAAAATCCTAATTTCTACGAAAATTGAAATGAGAGAATGACAATAATATACAAGTAAATACAATACAATATTATTATACAAGTAAATACAATGCAATACTATTAAACTAATTACAACACTTCAAATTTATTGCATTTATTGAGTATTATGTAGCGGTTAATATCCTGTCCAAACCCAGGATACATAACATGAAGACTTTGTTGTAATTTTGTATGAAAAGCATTAATACAATTAAATACAATACAATACTATACAAGTAAATACAATACAATACTATACAAGTAAATACAATATAATATTATACAAGTAAATTAAAGATATTTAGCTTCTGCTCTCCTAATTGTGAAACAGACTCACTCGAACAATGCTATACACATAAGTTCAAACAACGAAACCAATCTATGCATCGCATCATGGAAACAAGCCCTCTGTGTTTCGTAGGAATGTAATGAGGCGGTAGAAGCAGAACACAGCACGGTAACCAAGCGGGGAACAATGGTAACGATATTGAAGTAGACAAACATAGACACGTGCACAGTATTGAGTATACATAAGCGGCCTCTATACACTATACTCTGTACGGTGATCTTCCTAAAGTCAGCTCCAAGATAACCCAACGAAGGCTCAGACTTGCAGGTCATGCTCACCGACATCCGGAGCTGACACTGAACAAACTGATCCTCTGGAAGCCGAGTCATGGGCATACTAACAGGGGGCGACCTTACCTAACACTACTAGATAACCTAAAAGCAGATACTGGGCTGAAATCAGTAGATGAGATAGCTAGACTGATGGAGGACAGAAAGCTGTGGAGAACTGTTGTCAATGGATCTCGGGAATACTACCCGCCTTAAGTCAAGTAAGTCAGTATACACTATAGAGAGGTCTGTGTATACAGGGTGTTACACAGGTACCCTGCCTCCCTGTCTTCAGCCGTACACTTGTAACTCAAGACTCATCAGTGTAGAGTTGGTTCTTTTCAAAGATAAATAAAGGAAACTGAACAGATTCATATCATATTGAACGCTATTACTATATTACATATTATGTACAGTGCACATTCACAAGCTATTTTGCATTGGTTCCAATCTTACGGCACGCCATATATACAAGTTTTCATATTTTTTGCGGAACAAATATATCCTGATTAATACGTACAGCTGAAGCTTTTTTATTGCGCAGTCAATTTAAGATTTTATGTTATTCAGTGCGGTTGATTCATTTAGATAGGCGTTTAGGTAGGTATTGCTTAATTTCAAATATCAAGTAGAAACATATTTCAATCGGAAATTTCTATCGACGAAAACATCCACGACCTTCGTTTCTCTTTTACCGCAAATGGTAAAGAAATAAGCACCTCTATCACAAGCTTGCCAGGTTCATCCAACACTGACGTTTCAAGTTATAGCATGAGCTCAAAAACAAAAGTCGCTGTTTTCAATTAAAGCTTTTTTTTACAATTGTATACAACACACTGATGGCTGATCACAAGCCATCAAAACAGGAAACTAGTAAATTAAACGTCAAACCTTTATTAATAACTAATACAAGCATTTCATTATTTCTAATGTTTAATTCCCTGCAATATCTATCACTAAATTTGCTTCTCTGCCTTCGAGAAGCAAAACTGCAACTTTGCAAACACAACACTAGTATAGACTGATCACGAAAATAAGAAAATATAACTGGCTGGCCGAAAAAGTCGCGGACATTTTCAATCATGATTAAGATTATAAGGAAATAGTACCTAAAGAGTTGAAGCAAGTAAAAAAGTTATCATGTGTTATTAATCCTGGACCCAATAGTACTAAATCATTAATAACTGGAAATACTGCGTATCTAATTAATTAGTCAAGTAATTAACAAATTAGGTAATTAGTCTGAATCAGAGTCAGTGTATCCGTCCTCGTAAGAACTGTTAGAGTCAGTGTATCCCTCCTCGTACGAGTCCTCGGAATCACTCTTTTCCTTCTCCGCCTGCTCCACCTGGTAAATATTAATTGGATAATATTCTGGAGTATTTATATTCTGGAGTATTAATAATATACACAGAACACTGCTAATAAACGATTTTAGATACAGATGAATAGTGAATATGACGATGATTGAAGCCTTTCTGAAATTTTTGTTGAAATTACGATCACGATTTGATTTCAAATCTGCTTCTCACGCTGTAAGCAAACTCAATATAACCACATGGTAGTCCAATGTACAATGTACAATGTACAATGTACAATGTACAATGTACAATGTACAATGTACAATGTACAATGTACAATGTATAATGTACAATGTACAATGTACAATGTATAATATATAATATATAATCAATAATGTATAATGTATACCTTAGTTCGTGTATTTATGGTGGGTATTAATATGGCGGGTAAAAATATGTCGGATTTTCCGAAAATCCGCCAAATTTAACCCGCCACTTTTTTACCTGCAATATTATTTTCACAAAAAATTTCACCGAATTCTACCTGTTACATTGCAAAATTCGACCCAAGAATTACCATTAAGCGTTTAGTGTGGTTTGAAAACTAAATCACGACGCTTGTATCAATGTAATAAAAGAACGATAAAATTGTGATGCCATATACCCCTGAGTCAGAACTCAAAAAATTGACTCGGCGGGTTTTATTATGGCGGGTAAAAATAATGACGGGTAAAAATATGACGGAATTTCTGAAAACCCGCCAAATTTAACCCGCCATAATTAAACGAACTAAGGTAATGTATAAGCACCTGGTAGTACTGAGGTAGCCGGCTGTTGGCAGCCTTCTCAGCACGTCGTCTAGTGTTCCTAGTCTTGTGTGTCTGTATCCTGACTCTACTTTCAGCTGAGCGGGCTGGTCTGTACATTTTGGCAACTATCCAGCGTCTTTCTGCTCTTATTCTAAACTTCTCCTCTCCTGAGATACTGCATATTAGACAAAGGAACGATACAAAACAAATATTATAATTCAACTGGAGGGACGTCCAAATGATTTGCAAACCAAACTTTGAAATCAATAGTGAAACTGTCTGTATTGAAAATCAACTGAGTTTGCTCGATCTTTGCGAAAACTTAACCACATTTATTTTTCAAGCATGTAAATGTAAGTGTTCGACATTCATACAATTCATTGTTTTTTTTTTAAATCTCACATGTGAGATTTAAAAAAAAACAATGAATTGAATGAATTTATTTTACTCCAACAGCCACATTGTTACACAAGTGTAACCAGTCAATTACAGGAAGCCGAAGGATTCAATTATATATTAGGCCAGTGACGGTTAAGGTAGTGTGTACCAATACCAAACTTTCTTCGCTGGAGACTTTGCTGCAAATGCAATGGGCAGCTCCTCATTTATTAACCCTCACACCCCATTTCTCGAGTATTCGGCTGACTGGACCGGGGGCTGAATAGATCACTCGGAATCCTTAGCTGAGCGTCAACGACGTTCCCCTCATGGCTGGTAGCTCAGCTGGGAATCGAACCTAGTACCTCTCGATTAAAAAGCAGGAAGATTTACCAACTGAGCCACGCAGCTATAATTACACCTTTAAAAATGTGTATAAAACGTATGAAAATGTGTATAACACCTATGAAAATGTGTATAATACCTACGAAAATGTGTAAAGGAGTTTTTGTAGCTCTCTTGTAGGTCCACCAAGCTCGGAGAGCATCCTCTAATGCTTCATACATCTCATCAAACGAGTTAATCAGGTTTAATAAACGCTGAAAGTGATTGTATCAGCTGAAACTATCAATTTAAATAGATATATAGCTAAAAGATAATTTGGTGAGTGAGAAGGAAACATTCATGATACTAATATTCTTTTAAATTTTATTAACTGAAAAAATAAAAATATGATTTGGTTATTTTCACAATTAATCAGCCCTGAAGTTGTGTCTCAATTTAACGTAACATAAATACACCCTACAAAGGAGTATCTAAAGGTACGATCAGTTAAGTTTTAAAAACTTTATATTTACCTTTTCTTGAGGAGTGAGTTTCTTTTTGGCCACGCCCAGTTTCAGAGTCATCCTTCTTCCTAATGTCAGCTTCTCCTTTTTAGCGTATTTAATGTTAACTGCACGGGCTTCATACGCTGTAGTGATACAAAAGTTAGGAATTAATAAAAAGTGCAAACATCGTTCACAAAGATTTAAAGATCTACCAAAACCCAAATCCTACATTTACAACTATCCAGGATCAGTTGTTTTCAAAACTTATATAAATTGTACAAATTAGCAACTCAGATTCGAACCCAATACCTCTCATCTAAGCTACCCTACTCATGTTTTCATGCAGAGGGAGGTAGCGGATTTAATTAATACCAGTGGGAGATTTAGAAAGGTAGATGTTAGATTTCCTAACCCTCAATAGAGAGGTTTCGGGTTCAAATATGAGTGATTAATTTGTACAAATCAACTTGTTTATAATATGTTAAACTCACCTTCTGGTCGTGTATCAATAGTGACTTGGTATTCGTTCTCGATCAGCAGCTCTTTAAAATCACGGAGGTGGAACTTAAGTTTCTCCGTCTCCACTGGTTTCTGTAGTATAGTACCCAATATCATGGAAAAGCTGAGGGATCAGAAGTAATATCATGGAAAAGCTGAGGGATCAGAAGTAATATCATGGAAAAGCTGAGGGATCAGAAGTAATATCATGGAAAAGCTGAGGGATCAGAAGTAATATCATGGAAAAGCTGAGAGATCAGAAGTAATATCATGGAAAAGCTGAGGGATCAGAAGTAATATCATGGAAAAACTGAGGGATCAGAAGTAATATCATGGAAAAGCTGAGAGATCAGAAGTAATATCATGGAAAAGCTGAGGGATCAGAAGTAATATCATGGAAAAGCTGAGAGATCAGAAGTAATATCATGGAAAAGCTGAGGGATCAGAAGTAATATCATGGAAAAACTGAGGGATCAGAAGTAATATCATGGAAAAGCTGAGGGATCAGAAGTAATATCATGGAAAAGCTGAGGGATCAGAAGTAATATCATGGAAAAGCTGAGGGATCAGAAGTAATATCATGGAAAAGCTGAGAGATCAGAAGTAATATCATGGAAAAGCTGAAAGATCAAAAGCTGAGGGATCAGAAGTAAAATCATGGAAAAGCTGAGGGATCAGAAGTAATATCATGGAAAAGCTGAGGGATCAGAAGTAATATCATGGAAAAGCTGAGGGATCAGAAGTAATATCATGGAAAAGCTGAGGGATCAGAATTAATATCATGGAAAAGCTGAGGGATCAGAAGTTATATCATGGAAAAGCTGAGGGATCAGAAGTAAAATCATGGAAAAGCTGAGGGATCAGAAGTAAAATCATGGAAAAGCTGAGGGATCAGAAGTTATATCATGGAAAAGCTGAGGGATCAGAAGTTATATCATGGAAAAGCTGAGGGATCAGAAGTAAAATCATGGAAAAGCTGAGGGATCAGAAGTAAAATCATGGAAAAGCTGAGAGATCAGAAGTAATATCATGGAAAAGCT